TTTCAAAAACTCCAGAGCATGACGTACCAGAAGTCACAGAGGGTTAAGGATCTGATAAATAAGCGGCATGACAAAAAATTGCTCAGCAATGGGAGGATAAGACAGGGCAAAACCAAGCCAATCCGGACAACTTTTGATAGTTCTTTATTGAAGGCATCAACTGCTACAGACGTCAAGAGGACAAAAGTAGTAAACCTATCTTCAATCCCTCTCGATTCTGAAACTAAGGATCTCTTAGAGAAGAGGTTACGTTTTTCACCAGGTAATGAAGGAAACGTTCTTAGTGATATTCTGGTGGAAGTTGTCAACATAGCGGATAAAGATCCAGAAGATACAAGGCGGGAGATGGAATTGGAAATAATCCCACAGATCCTGACACATCAAGAACCGAAACAGAGGAACAAATTGGCTTGTATTCGGAAAAAATTACAAAAGAATGATTAAATAATTCTTAAGACGAAAAAAAAGGGGGGGCGACGGTTGTAATGGACAAGAAACAATACACGGAGAAAATGAAAAGTATCACTTATAAAAAAGGAAGGAAGGATCCGACCATACAGATCAACAGGACACTGAAGAATATACTAAAGGAAATGCATAGTAATAGAGAAATCGATAGATGGTTGATGAAATCTTTAATCAGAAATAACGCAAGACCACCGACAGCCTACGGAAGACCGAAGCTACACAAGGAAGTAAATCCGTAAATATTGAGAGTCAACAACAAGCATGAATCAACATACAAACTAGCGAAATTCATTCGCTTGAAGCTCAAGAAAGTAAAGGACAGACTCTCGAATGCCGTCAAGAATTGATATGAATTTTCTCAAAGGATACAGAACATTGGGTTGGTAGTATCGGAATTGTTAAGGAGTTTCGTTGTACAATCCATGTACACAAACATCTCAGGTAAGAGGACTGTAAGCGCATTGCTGGAGATATTGGAGCGAGAAGAGGACATCCTGGAGGCAGAACGGATACGCAAAGAATCGCTAACACGACTGATCAACCTGACAGTAAGGACCACGTATTTTACATTAAACGACATTCAACGGCATTATCTATGAGCAAATATTTTGACTACCGGTGGGATCTCCATTCTCAACTCTTTTGGCAAATGGGTAGATGGACAAATTGGAAAGGGAATTCGTGAAATCACCACTGCAACCAAGAGTGCTAATGCGATATTTGGATTACTACTTTGCACTTTAGTCACAGAATAAGGAAAATCTAAATAAATTACTCAATTTTATCAACCAACTTGACGGAAGAATTCAGGGAGGATGATGAACGACTACCCTTTCTGGATATTGAAGTCATACGCTCCAATGGGACACTCATGAGGAGACTATACAGAAAGAATTCATATGCGGGAATATTCCTTAATTTTTAGTCTCATCATAACTACAGACTGAAGATCGGAATACTGAGGAGTTTGATCATCTGAAGCTTTTGACTAACGGACAATGAGTTCTGGGACGAGTAGTTGGACAAACTGACATGGATTTCCCTTAGTAACGGATACCCCAGAGAATTAATAGAAAAAAATGCAGAGGTTATAAAGGGCAGATTTCAACTTGGATTTTATGAAAATCAGATCAGGAATCAGGATGACGACCAAAAGTGGATTTGCCTGCATTCATCACAACTGAGCCAACAATTGCGACCAATACTAAGGAAATGGAACATCAGGGTGTTAACAAAGGAAAGGAAAACACTTTTCACAAGTCTGCCGACGCAACACGAGAAGACTGACAAACTTGAATGCTCGGGAGTTTATCGCATCACATGCGGCAACTGTGAGCAGAAATATATCGGTGAAACAGGAAAAAATATCCGCCTACGAATCAAGGAATATAAAAAATTCTGCAGTAACATGGATACGAAAAGATCAAAAATAGCGGAACACATTGCACGAACGGGGCACGAAATCAACTGCAAATCGACCGAAAGGTTGGCTGCATGTAGTGAAGATAAAAGAAAACGCCAGAGCCGAGATGCAAGATCCGAAATACTGACCGAGAGGGATCTAATGAACAGGAGACTTGAAGAAGGCAGGATTAGCGAAAACTGTGCCTATTGCCTAAACAAACTCGGACAAGAACAAGCAACAGCAAGATCAGCAAAAAGAAGATGTTTGGAAAAATGTAATATCCTTAATTTTAGGAAAAGAGATCGCAGGGTGATGAGAAAGCAACAATCAGAAGCAAAATGGAGACATCTTCAGTGAGCCTGATCAAAACAAGTAGAACCACAACATTTGTGGGTTGGTTTTGATAGGACCCAGGGAAGGACAATGTAACAATATAACATACTCTGGTCAACATTCCCAGCACAAAGGTGAAGGGGGTGATAACGACAGTGTGGAGTGTGAAGGGTTTTCATGAATGCCGCTCGAAGGAGCACACGACACTACATTAAGAATAAGCACGGTACAAACTGTAACAGAGAAGGTGTGATAGGAAGATATAGGAAATGTGACTAGCCCAGGGCAGAACAGAAGATATCATAACTGTTTAGCACACGTTTGGTCAAAGGATCGTCTTCACTTGTCGCTTTTGACTAGTTGTCGTGTGGTGCTAAGAATGGCGAGACTCACTGACGATGCCGACTACGATGCCGGCACAGCGTCTGGGAATGTACCACGTCCACGTCCACGGACAAGGTGCCTTCCTCTAAGTCTTCCTACCAATATGAACAAGTTGCGAAAACGAGTTCAAACAACTTTTTTTTACGAAAGAAAACTCCGACCACACAAAAGGAGACACCATCTTGGTCTTTATATCTTTAATTAAACTTAATGACAAGGCCTGCGTCTTTTAGATTGTAATCGTCTCGAGACCAGGAGATAAAAAGATTAGGAAAAGTTTTGGTTGGGATCATTTAACCAATAGGATTAATTGAAAAGTTCTTGAGAGTAATAAAAAATTGGACAATAAGAATTCTCTATTTGGGGCAGAAAAGAAGGCTGGAGGGCTCCATTAGGATTCTGATTTAGCGTCCTGTAAACTCTGGAAAAAGATGAGCGAATAACTGGAGAGAGGGATATTAGTAACATGTATAATAAAAAAATAACATATTCTTGGGCGACACCTTCTTTTACATAATTTGTTGACCCTCTCTTTAGATCGGGTTGTTACCTAGTTTTGCATTCGTCTGATAACGCCTGAGAGAGGGAGAACTGCAAAATTATAAAAATTAAGCAATCTGTCCATACAACAGCCTGAGAATAAAATATTGATGAAATTGGTAGTAAACAAAATGGAAGACATCTTGTCCCGTTTAGTTGTCATATATCATTTATGCTGCTTACTTCACAACACTTAATCTTTAGCGTGGTGATAAATGGAATAAATGTGAATGCATTTAATTTTGATTAAATGCTACAAATGAACAGCCTCCGCTTTTCGAGTTAGTATCATGAAACACCTGTGCACCTTAGGCGAACTAAAGTGACTAATAATTGGGGAACGTGCATAAAAAATACGTCTTCAAAGCAGTTATTTCCAGAAATAGAGGCAACAGGCTTCATAAAACGCATTTTGATACAAATTATTTCATCCTAAGGTCATGGGGGCAAAACATTATTTACTCGCAGAAATTAAAATACTTTAAATATACGCCCCATTTAAGCAGAATTATGTCAACTTGTAATTCAAAAGCTGATTCCCATTCATTCATGAGCTTGCTAAATGACTAAGTGATTACATCTGTCCGATATTTGACTACATAAATCAGGAAGATAATTAGATAAATAAAAAGCTAAAATAATGTATAATTGTAAATTAGTAAATAGTCAATGTACTGAAATTATGTAAATACAGGAATAAACTTTAGTAGTTATGGGATAATGAGACTATTAGTAACCATAGCATCAGAGCGGTATTCACTCTAAGTTGATGCGAGGATCAAGGAAGGCGTGCCTCTTGATCAGAGTCTCCGGCCAGATCATCTTGTTGCTATCACGAACTTGGGAATTGCCTATCAGGTTCCAGCCTAACGGAATCAACAGGCCGTGCCTTGAGTCGATCCTTTCTAGAGAGGCACAAGCCGCCTGTCTGCTTGGCCATCTGCCAAAGGCCTCAAACATGTGAATTGATGTACTCTGAAATAGCCAATTTGGCGTCGTCGCAAAACA